GGGGCCATGCAGAGGGGAAGGGGAGGGGGGGGGCTGTGCATGAAGACTTCGGACACGCAGAGAGCGGAGTGATTAAGTAAATGCAAACTCCGGGAGATGATGATTCTTCTTTTATCTTTCTTCTTTGTAGATTTTTTAATTCGTCGCATTAAGGATTTTATGTGTTTGTTTGCCTGATTATCCGTGGAGATTGAATCATTATCCGTGTCTTCCCTTCCAGGTGCAGCTGACGATCCGGACGCTGCCGGAGCTGCCCGCCGGCGCCAAGTACCAGTGCGTGTGGGGGTCGGCGCCCCCCGCGGACGCCCTGGTCACGCCCACGGGGCTGACGTGCATGACGCCCGCGCGCGCGTTCCGGCCGCCCATCGCGCCGCACCGCGACCACGTGCTGGTGCCGCTGGCCGTGCGCTCCAGCGAGACCAACAAGGACTTCGTGTCGCGCAACTTCGCCTTCTACGACTGCGGCCGCCACAACACCTGCGGCAGCTGCGTCAGGAGCGACTGGGCCTGCAACTGGTGCGTCTACGAGAACACGTGCACGCACAACGCCTCGTCGTGCAGGAGGACGGTCATCTCCGGGGAAAATGTGAGTTGGAAGGGCGTATGTATTCTTGCCATTCATGCCTTGTCATACATGTCTCGATTTCTGACACGATTTCTGATACGATTCTCGTCTAGCCTTTGCGTGTCCCAGCTGATTCCCGTCGCTTCCCTTGCAGAATCCGTCCCAGCTCGCCTCGCACGGCTCCGGCTTCTGCCCGCGCTTCCGGCAGGACCAGACGCCGCTGCTGGCCGCCGACGGCGCCAAGAGCGAGCTGCAGCTGCTGGTGGAGAACCTGCCGGTGCCGCGCGTGGGCCAGCTCGGCTTCCAGTGCGTGGTGAGCATCGAGGGCGCCACCATGCTGGTGGGCGCGCGGGTCATGGTGGAGGACGAGGAGGAGCCGGAGGGCGGCAGCAGCAGCCCCGCCACCACCACCAGCAGCGCCAGCCGCCCGCACCACCGGCGCGTGCAGCGCGTGGTGTGCGAGGCCACGGTGTACCGCTACGAGTCGGGCGAGGGCGAGTACGAGGCCCGCGTCACGCTGGTGTGGAACCGCGACCACGTGGTGGACGCGCGCCCGCTCACGCTCTACAAGTGCGGCGTGCTGGGCGCCCACCGCGGCCACCACGACTGCTCGCTCTGCGTCACGCGCCACCCGCGCTACCGCTGCACCTGGTGCGGCTCCTCCTGCAGGTACGCCCCGCACTGCCCCTCCCTGCCGGGCGTGGCCGCGGCCGCCACGTCGGCGGTGGCGCCCTTGCCCACGGGCACGCATCACCAGGACGCCGCGGCGACGGCGAGCGACGGCCGCCTGGCACAGTGCCCCACCGCCAGGATCGATGTGGTGAGTAGCTCTCGAGGCCATTGTCTGGGCTTTCTATGTTATTATAATTACCTTCCTCGTCTTTGTTCCGCCCGCCCGCGCCGCCCCGAAATACCCGGCGCAGAAGAAAGCCGCCGCCCGAAGAAAGGCCCCATTTCAAAATTCCCGGATGGCATAAAGCCTACGCGGAGCCGCCGCTTTCACGACGGCAATCTGAATATTACCTTTTTCCGCCGTCGCCCGCGGGAAGCAGAAATAGCCCCACTCCCGCTGATTATGGCGGGGGAGGGGGGGTTATATTCTCTTTCTCTCTCTCTCTCTCCTCCTCCTCCTCCTCCTCCTCCTCCTCCTCCTCCTCCTCCTCCTCCTCCTCCTCCTCCTCCTCCTCCTCCTCCTCTTCCTCCTCCTCTCCTCTCTCCATCTCTATCTTCTTCCCCATCCCTCTCCCTCTCTCTACCCTCCCTCCCATACGGAATAGAACCACAAAAAAATACGGAACAAAACAAACACATCACACATAGTCTATACCCCCCCCCCCCAAAAAAAAAAAAGAATGATAGATCTGCTTTCTTCCTCCCCCCCCCCCCACACTCCCAACATCCCACCCCCTATAAATTACCCTTCACTTCCCCCACTATTCACCCTAAGCTGCCTACACCCCCTCCTTACCCCCCACGGCCTATACCCCGCCCCTTACTTCCCCTTCCCCACTCCCCACTCCCCCCTCCCCCTCCTTTCTCCCTACCCCTTCCCCTTCTCCCCACACCCCCACTTTCCCTACTCCCCACCTCCCCCACTCCCTACACTAAATCCCCTACATCCCATACCCCTACCCCCCCACTCCTCTCCCCACTCCCCCTCCTAACTCCCCCACACCCCTCTTCCCACTCTCCCTCCTTATTCCCCCACACCCCCTCTCCCCACTCCCCCCCCTTACTCCCCCACACCCCTCTTCCCACCCTCTCCCTATTACCCCCCACCTCCCCCCCCCCAACCCTTCAACCCTCCTTATTCCCCCCCACACCCCTCTCCCCACACCCCCTCTCCCCTCCCCTCCCAACTCCCCCCTCCTTACTCCCCCACACACCCCTCTTCCCACCCTTTCCCTATCCCCCCCTACCTCCCCCCACCCACCCCTTCAACTGATCCCGGATTAAGATGTCCGTAATATCAGTTGCAATCTGGTGCATATTGTATAATCGCTTTAAGGCCATATGCCACTCTTATCCTTGGCTCCCGGAGGCTCTCGTGTCATGGCACTGTGTCTGCGGATTTTTTTTTTTTTTTCTTTTTCTTTTTTTTTACGGTCTTGGTGAAGGGAGGAAGATTGATTGATTGGGTGGATGGGTGGATAGGTGGGTGGATGGATGGGGGGATGGGGGGGGTGGATAGGTGGGTGGGTGGATAGGTGGGTGGGTGGATGGATAGGTGGGTGGATGGATGGGGGGATGGGGGAGTGGATAGGTGGGTGGATAGGTGAGTGGATGGATGGGTGGGTGGATGGGTGGATGGTTGGATGAATGGATAGCTGGATAGGTGGGTGGATAGGAAGGATAGGTGGGTGGGTGGGTGGATGGGTGGGTGGATAGGTGGGTGAATAGATGAGTGGGTGTGTTGATTGGTGGATGGTTGGATAGATGGATGGATGGGTGGATGGATGAATGGATAGGTGGATAGGTGGAGGGAAATGGAGGGAAGTACATAGATAGATACAGATAGATAGCCAAAGATAAATAGATATAGATATAGATACACACACATACATATCCAGATTCCTTCCTTCCTCCCCTTCCCTCTCCCCTCGCCTCCTCGGCCTCGACATATTCCCTCCTTCGTTTCCGCGTTGGAACGTCACTCGAGAGCTCAACACAATCGCCTTTGGTCGCGCTGGTCGGTTAAGTGATTATGGTCTCGTATCCTTCTCGCTATTTTTCCTTGTCGTCTCTCTTTCTCTCCCTTTTTCTCTTCTTCTGATTCTTCTTCTTCTGATTCTTATACTTTTTTTCGTTTGTTTTTTTGGGGGGATTTTTTTTTATATCTTTTCTTGTGTTTTGTTCCTCTTTCGTTTGTTCTTCTTTTTATCTTGTTTTCTGTCTTCTTTCTTTTTTTCTTTTCTCTTGTGTTTTCTTCTCCTTTTTCGTGCTTCTTCCTCTTCTCTTCTCTATATCCTCCTTTCCCTTCTCTCCTCTCTCATCTGTCCTCCCCCCCCTCTCTCCTTCCCTCCCTCCCTCCCCCTCCCTCCCTCCCTCCCTCCCTCCCTCCCTCCCGCTTGTTCTTCATTTTCTTCCATCCATCATCATCATAATTCCTCTTTGTCCAACACAGCCTCGGTGATAAAGGCGGCACATAATAATTACTCTCGATAAGCCGATGATGTGAAGCCTGAGTAAGTCCGGATAATGCGGAGGGGGGGGGGGGAGGAGGAGGAAGGGGGGGGGCGAGGGAGGAGGAGGGAGGGGGGTGAGGGAGGAGGGAGAAGGGGGGAGGAGGGAGGAGGGGGCGATTGTTGGCCAACTGTTGTTGCAGAGATGGGAGGATAAGGAGGGAGGGGGGGGAGGAAGGGGGAGAGTGGGAGGGAGGAGGGAGAGAGGGATTGGGAAGGGGAGTGAAGGGGATGGAGGGAGAGTTGGGGTAGAAGGAAAGGGAAGGGGAGAAATGCAAGTAAGAAAGGGGGAAGAGGAGTAGGAGAGAGAGAGAGAGAGAGAGAGAGAGAGAGAGAGAGAGAGAGAGAGAGATAGAGAGAGAGAGAGGAAGGGGTTAAGCAAGTGGTAAAAGGGAAAGTTGATAAACGTTGCAAAAGGAGGGACGAAGGCGCAAGTATCATCACCACCACCAACAACAACACCACCACAACCACCCCACCACCCCCACCCTCACCCCTCTCACCCCCATCCCCCCCACCCCCCACTGTCATCCCCCCCCCCCCCCACACACACACACAGTCATCCCTTCCTCATTATCTTCCTCGCATCCCGGCACCAACGCGCAACAGCTCTACCTTGTATTATCTCAATTATGAAGCGAAATTCTTCCATGAAGGTGACCCTTGAATATGCATGTCGCGAATTTAAATATCCAGGGATTTTATAGTGATGCTGGGAGAGGGTCCTTCTCTCCTCCCCCCCCCCCTCTCTCCTCTCCTCCTCCTCTTTCCCTCCTTCCTTCTCCCACCCATCCCTCCATCGTCTTTCTCGCCTCTCTTCACTGTCTTTCTTCCTTTCCTCACTTTCTCCCTTTCCTCACTTTCTCCCTTTCCTCACTTTCTCCCTTTCCTCACTTTCTACCTATTCTCCCTTTCTCCCTTTTCTCCCTTTCTCCCTTTCCTCACCTTCTCCCTATCATCACTTTCTCCCTTTCGTCACTTTCCCCCTTTCCTCTCCCTTTCCTCACTTTCTCCCTTTCCTCACTTTCTCCCTTTCCTCACTTTCTCCCTTTCCTCACTTTCTCCCTTTCCTCACTTTCTCCCTTTCCTCACTTTCTCCCTTTCCTCACTTTCTCCCTTTCCTCACTTTCTCCCTTTCCTCACTTTCTCCCTTTCCTCACTTTCTCCCTTTCCTCACTTTCTCCCTTTCCTCACTTTCTCCCTTTCCTCACTTTCTCCCTTTCCTCACTTTCTCCCTTTCCTCACTTTCTCCC